AACAAAGTGAGGACATAGGGTCAGTCGGAGATTAGAAAAAATGCCATATAATAATCGAAGGAATTTAGAAGATTACTTCGGCAACCAATGATGATGCCAACGTGCAGTGGATAAGTGATCTCAAGGAGACCCCGGGGAAATGGTCAGAACCTCTACATCTTAGGACGGCAACACCATTGAAACACTTAAGTCGAAAGCATCGAGTTGATAGTAACAACCTCAATAGTAAATGCTCCTAACACTTACTCTGAGATGAAAACAGATGTCTCCTTCCTTCTGCCCCTCGCTAGTCTCCTTACTCCGAGCTTCCATTTTGTCCTGTACTTTTCCTTCGTTTCTCTTCTCCTCATCGCCAGACTGATCCAGCAAGCAGGCAGCTTTGGCGGTTGCACCTGTCTCCAGCTGAACAAGAACTCGCAGATCAAGAGCTTCCTCATCACGGTATCGTCGAGCAAGAGAGGCTGGCGAAGCTAACAATGCAGAACCGAAGGTCTCCAATTGAGAAAGAGGCAAGCTTTTGCTCTGCTCGGTTGGGGCTGGACTTGAAATGTTCCCAAATGGAACGGCTTGGAATGCTTGCCTGGACTCCATATTCTGATGCTAGATTGGTAATGCGAATTTAAGAAGAAAATAATTAAAATTAAGCATATTTGTTCCTGAATCATAGGAGTCCATTAGGTAAGCTAGGCAACTAGTGAAGAGGCTTGATTTAAAATCCCTTCTCATGAAATCTCACAATTTATAGTCTTCTAAGCACCAGTCAACTTGTCACGTTGGATTATGCAAATGTGAAACTAAGCCAATACTAAACACAAAAAACTCCTAAGATACAGCTTTGAGCTGAGACCTTACCTAAAGAGCAGAGGTCATCCTGTAGGTTGTTGGGACTGTCCCAACATGTCTTTAAATGATCCTCCAAATCTGGTAGAAGTATTAGTACATCTTTGTGTTTTGACTGGCAACATGGAAATAATATATATAGAAACATTTACCCACCCAGAAGACTTGATAACACTTACCGGAGTTGGCCAGTTCATGCTGATCATCGTAGCGTCCGATGAAATGTTTCGACGATGTCCCTTTAATCCACGACCAGTTGGCCCTACGGAGCCGTGAGATATGAGCAACTGGGAAGAGTTAGTCATCTCAGTTAAGAAGGGGAAATCTGATCCTGCTGTAGCTCCTGGTAATGTGGCCCAATGGTGTTGCTGCCCCTGTCGTTGATTGGAATGACTCGGATTTTGCTGCCAGTAGGTGACTGGGATTGACCTTCTAGATGAATTAAGATATTGACAAGATGGGGAACGGACGGCCGGAGACACTTCATGCTTCTTTGAGATGTCATCGGTACCACTTTCTGTGGTATCTAGGGGAGATATAAGGCTTTCATTTTTAATTCCTGATGAAATTGTACCGAAAAGTGGATCATTCCCCAAAGGTGATGGGCTGTTCGAGGTACCCCGAGTGTCCCGTAAGGCATCCCTGGTGCGATGTTTCGTAAAGGCGATGCCTTTTGGGCTGGTGGCCGCAGAAAGAGCTGCTGCACAGGAAAAATTACGAATGTCGAGACTGGGCCGGCGAGTCCGAGGGCAGTTAGCTTTAGGATGAAGGAGGATAACATATACTTTTTGTTTTTCGAATTAAGTATTGTTTTCGTGACTACTAGTAAATAAGTAATACGAGATGTATTCACCAAATTTTGTTTAAGGTGATGGAGGACTGGTAGAAGAAAATTTTTCACACAATGCTATGAGTTGTTGTGACCCAAAAGGCGCTCGTGGCAGTGTAGCCGAGTGATTAGCTTGTCAAGCTC